CTGCCACTACATAATGATCATTTTGTCACTACTATGCCCTCACACTGCAGGCGGGTCCTGCTACGAAAGAGGCCTTCTACACCGAGCTCCTTGGAGAATTCAGTGTGGTAGACAAGATCCTCATCATGGGTAACCTGAACACCAGAGTGGGCAAAGGCTGGGATGTTTGGCCCAGAGTACTGGGAAAGCATGGAGTAGGCACCCACATTCCAAACATTGGCATCTTCTAGATTATATGCGAGTGCATCAAAAAGATGTACAGGACATGCTTCACATGCGTGTCACAGTGCAGACTGCTAGTCACAGCTAAAGTATGACTAACCTTCAAACCGCCACCACAGAAAAAAAGGAATTGAAATTGCAGTGGCAGCAGCTGAAAATGATTCTCCAGGAAACAATTGTTGAAGTTGTGGATTATGCAACCAAGACGAACAGACATTGGTTCAATGTAAATGATGTGGAAAGTCGAGACCTCCTACAAAAGAAGTGCTTTTGCCTGGAGAGAGTTTGTGCTAAATCAAAATCTAGGCAGCCAAAGCAGCCTACAGAAATGCATGTAGCACTGAAGAGTCAAAGATTAGGGATATGCAGAACAAGTGGCAGGTAGACCTGGCAGAGCAAACCCAGCTGTATGCAGACACTGGAAACACCCGTGCATTCTATGATTCACTGCGCACAATATATGGTCCCACCCACCAGGTGCAAGTACTCCTGTGCACATCAGATAGTCTCCTCACCAACAAGGAATCTATGCCCAGTGGTGGACAGAGCATTATGGAAACCTCTTTGGAGATAAATGCCAAGTACAGGAAGAAGTAATCAGGAAAATGTCACAACGTCCAATCAAGAAGTAAAAGCAGTCACTGCAAAGCTGAAGTGCCACAAAGCTCCTGGAGCCGACGGTGTACCAGCTGAGGTGTACAAATTAGGAGGCAATACTCTTCTTGTGAAATTCACAGATTTGTTTGCATTATGTCGAGAGAGAAGCTTGTACCACAGGATCTTCATAATGCCGTCAAGCTCAGATGAAGACCATGGAAGTGCAGATTATGGAGCTGCTTTGTGCAGACAACTGTGCACTCCTCACTCATAGTGAAGAAGCACTTCAGGTAAGTGTCAATCACTCTGCCTGTGCAGCAAAGGCCTTTGGCCTCACAATCAGACTGAAGTAAACAGAAGTGCTTCATCAGAAATTACCACATGGACCATACAGTCCTCCAAGCATCACCATTGGTCAAACAACACTCAACACAGTGAAGCACTTTACATACCTGGGGAGCATCATTTCCAATGATGCAGCAGTAGATAAAGAAGAAGAATCATTTGTTGTGCTTGTCAACAAAGATCCTGGTTTACAGAGCTCCAGTGGTCACCACTAAAACTTTTGAAACGCTTCCACATGCTATGCCTTCGTCCCATCACGGGCATCAAGTGGCACGACAATGTGACTAATAACAAAGTCCGGGAGAGAGCAAAAACCCCCAGCATCGAGGCAATTCTATTGACCAGACAACTTCACTGGACAGGCCACTTAACACGCATAAATGATAATGGAATGCCAAAAGCTGTGTTCGGTGGTGAGCTGTGCCAGGGCAAACAAAGCAGAGGAGCCCAATGAAAGCGCTACAAGGATCAGTTGAAGTACAGCTCGCATTGCAGAAAAAGATTGGTAAAAATATCACAGAAGACAGGGGGCACCTAGAGAGCAATAACAAAGGAAAGCGCTGACTCCTTTGAAGCAACAAGAAGATCAGCAGCTCATGAAAAGCATACACAGAGGAACGCGGCAACTGCCCAGAAAACCTGTGCTCAGGATTTCCAATGTCCAAAGTTGCCAGAACATGCCATTCTAGGATCAGCCTTCACAGCTGCAAGAAGGCGTGCTCTCAGCTCCAACTTCCTTTCCATTGATCCTTGGACTTGAGGAATCTGCCATCATCATAATTTGGAACTATAAATAGCCAAAACCAGCATGTTTTGTGTCACTTCATTCATAACATTTTGATTATAAATTCCACTTTACTGCAGTTCTGCTTACGCTTATAGGAATGAATTGTCAGGCCTCTGCCTTGCTGGCAGTCTCTCCTCCTCCTCTCCCTCTGTGTGTGTGTGTGTGTGTGTGTGTGTGTGTGTGTGTGTGTGTGTGTGCGCGCGTGCATGCATGTGTGTGTGTGACTGAACTGTAACTTAATCAGCAGCAAATGAGGACACCTGCGCAGCTGTTGGCTCACCTGCCATCAATTGGCGCTCCATTCCATTAAACCCAGGTTTAGACCTTCATTCAGCCTCAGCTCTTTAATCTAGACACAATGCCTTGACTGGTTTCCTTTATTGTCTTGTGTTAATTTCACTGAAATCACCTGGTATCACTCGCTGCCTATGCAGTTGCCACTCTGCCAAATTCCCTCATTTGAAACAAACCTTCCACATCGCCTGCCTGCTTCAGCCTCAGATGTCTCCACTGGATTTCTCCAGCCACACACTCTGTTCTCACTATTCTCACAGACTCCTGACTCCCTTACCCAGCCCCGATCTGCCAACTAAGTTTCCCTAGCTTTTTTAGTTCATATTCCCATCGCTAACTCAGTCAGTCCTTGTTGCTTCCTTAGCATGATCCTCGTAGCTGTCCATGGCAATGTGATACCTGGTTTGGTTAGCTTCTGGTTCTGTCTCCTTGCTCTACCCTAGTAGATCTGTAGCTCTGTGTGTTTTGTGATTATTGCTAGTTCTGAGAGTTTTGCTGTTTGGATTCAGTGTTTAGTTCACTATAGTAACCTAGCCTTTTGTCTAGTTAGCCTGCTTGTTTTCACCTTCCCCTAATTACTTCCCTGGTTTGTTTGGTTTGTCTGGTGATCGTCAATCACTGTACATAGTGCTGTACACCTCGTGATTCCCTCATTGTAAATAAGCACCTTTTCACTGATTCTCTGGTCTCCTCCTCATTACTGTCTGAGCTTGGGTTCTCAGTAAGACCGTCACATAAATAAAGAGAAGAAAGGCTTTTAGTTCATGATGCTAACGACAGCTTTTGATAAGGAAGGTCAGAGACATGATTGTTGTTATGACAAGTCTGATTCCAGAGAAAAGGTGGTTGGTATCTGATCTGTGTTCTTTTTCCAACAACAATGACATAATGTGTCACTGTAGACCTAGTGGAGTTGTGCTGGACATGTGTAGACATGTCAAGTGAAAGTAACTGGCCTCAGCTTGAGGGAGGGCACTGGCATGCCTTGCTGGGAGGATGCCACAATTTGTATGATTTCACAAGACGTGTAAGTTGGATGGATGGATGGATGGATGGATGAAAATGGCTTTTCATTTGGTCTGGCAAGAAGGATCATACCATAAAAAAATCAATAAATGGGTTAAAATTTGTGACATAATTACAAAATTGATGTCAATAATAATTCTGGTGTATCAATTGCTAAAAAAACTACAGATTTCTTCAGTGGAGCGGTATCTTTCAGGGCAACAGGTTATCCTCAGATTTATTTAACATTCATATCATTGGAACACTTAGTTTTAGATTTATTATTTATTATTCCTCCAAAGCAGTTACAAGCTTTAGCGGCTGAGAGTGAAGAGAATGTGCACACAGCTACTGTTGCCTGTCCTTTACTATTTGAAGCTTTATGGGAGAGTGGTAAAGAGAAAGTAATTCCTAAAAAAAAAAGCTCATGATAAATCTCAACTAGCATTTGCCAGAGGGCATATTGGAGACTCTGAAATCAACTGGAAGACAGTTGTTTGGTCTGCTGAAACCAAATTTAACTTTTTGGCCACCAGACTAGATGCTATGTTTGACGTACATCAAACACTGTGCATTATCCTAAACACCATCCTCACATGGTGTATGGTGGTGGCAGCATCATGACGTAGGGATGCTTATTGTGGAAGCAGGCCCTGTAAACCTTGTGAAGGTTAAGGGTACAATGAATGCAGCAAAGTACAGGAAAATACTACAGGGCATCCTGGTGCAGTCTGCAAGAGAACTGCAACTTCGAAGAAAATGTGTTTACAATGACCTAAAGCATACAGCCAAAGCTACACAGAAATTATTTAGAGACAACACTCAGTCAGCTGCGAGTTTGGGCCCAGGTGACAAACACCTTCTCTACTTTTCAGATTAAGATTAAAACTTTTCTTTTTGGTAAAGTTCACACTGAAGGCTGCTTGTTTGACCCTGAACCCTCCCTTGGTTATGCTGCTATAGGCCTAGAAGCTGGGGCTACTCCCATGATATACTGAGCACACATCCTCGCCTTTCTCCTTTCCCCTGCTTCATTCTCATGTCACAAACTGTGTTTTCTCTTTCCTGTAGTTGGTGTTTTGTCCTCTCTGCAGGTATCTCTGGATCTGCATGTGTCTGATCTGCAGTTTTATTTATTTAACCTTTATTTAACCAGGAAAGACCCATTGAGATTAAAAACCTCTTTTACAAGGACGTCCTGAAGTTACTAGTCCCCTCAACTTCTCCCTTGTTTACTGTTCTGTGATGCTTTGTCTATTTTGTCCCTGCTCTCCTTCTCTCTTTCCTCGTTTACCTTTATCCCAAGTGGTCAAGGCAAAAGGCCTTCCAACCAGCCTGTTTCTTCTTGAGGTTTCTTCCCGGTAAAGCTGAGTTGTTCCCCCTGCTGTTGCCAAGTGCTTGCTCAATGGGACTCAAGGGAAACTTTGGATTTGTTCAGTTTCTCTGCATAATTTAACTGTGCTCCTATGTAGTATTTTGAGATGACATATGTTGTGAATGTGTGCTATGTGAATGAAACTTAATTGAATGGAATTTTCTTTATTATACAAAATACATTTAGATTTTTATCACCATTGTGTTTTATTAACACCTTCCTTGATGCTTTGGCAATATTGGTATCCTGATATTTATTCCAGTGAAGCCACAGCATCACACAGCACACCTACAGCATCATTATGGGCATTTACGCAAGTACTTGTGTGCGCAGCGCTCCTCCTCCTCAGCCTCCTCCTTTAACCTGCTCAGTCAGCCAGTCCGTCTTTCAGTCGGTCAGGAACTCTTTTCTGCGCCATCAGGACACTATCGGTTTAACTGTTCCGGATAAGGACTTTTCTTCAGTCATGATTCGGGTTTCTTCGCCCGTGGCCGTGTTGCTGCTGTTTGCGGTGAGTGTCGTCAGTGTTTTTCCACGGTTACAGACCTACTGTTTTCTAAAGTCTTTTGTTTATTTCCTGTTGTCTGAAGCGGCTACGGAGGTCTCGGAGGGATGTGAATTCCCTGAATGTACAGTCAGCAGAGCACCTGGTCGTCTCTGGTCGCTGATCTTTGTTATGGACACACAGGCTGTAACTTCAATAAGCGCCGTTGTGTCGTTTTTGTACCTGGAGGCGCAGGTTACTGGAGGTTACTTCCTTACTGCCACATATATTTTACGTTTTCAGAAAGACAGAGTTCAACAGACCAACTGTCAGAAACATTGTTCAGACATTGAGCATGAAGTTTAGGTTTGTTTACTCCATCTTATAACCAGCCAGCTCATGTTGAGCCCAACAAATACCTGAGTGTCATGGAAACGGTGCTGTCACACACAGACATTCTAAAGTCTCGCTTTCTCACCTGACAGCTTGTTTTCATCTTCACCTGCGGTTTGTGAAATTAGCCCATGGTAGCCATGTGTAAGATAATGTACAGTTACATTCTGCTTTAATTTGCTGTACTAGTACATGCTATACAACTGCCTTAATGACGAATGTTTGGTGTCTTTACTGTGGTCACAGCAGTACGGTGGACTCACCTCGGTGCAAGTACTCAGGAATTCAGTTCGGACCAGAATAAGGAAACGCAGTTGCTTAATTTGCATTATGAATCCCGAACTAAACCAGCTCTGGCTTTACTTACCCATCACTGTCTTGCTCTATATTTTTACCATTGAACTTTTTAGCTACTGCTTTTGATTAAGGTTAATTCTCGCTGAACAGGTAAGAGTTGAATTGTTTAGTTGTCTTTGTTGTATTTTGTGGTGGGTTTTTGAAATGGCAAATCCAAAACATGAGATCAAAAAATGATTATCCACGTGAGACTAGGGGGGGGAAGACCATATTCTGTGTGCTCAGTTTTTCTCTCACGTCACATAGCTGGCACGACTTCTTTCTTGCTCGTCAACACTTAGAAACCTGAAGCCACTCCTTTCCCAGAAAGAATAGTTAAGTCTCCTGGGAGTGGTTGGGTGTGTCAATGTGTCCTTAAGCCTACCACACAGTAGAAAGGGTGGATGCTTCAACAAACCCACATGGGCCACCTTGTTAGAGATAAAGTTCACTCAAAAGTTTTGACAGGTATGACACTGTATGTCCTGTTGCCACAACTGGCAAGACTGACTAAAGTGTTGTCAAAATGAAGCCAAAATGGATGCAAAGCCACAATCTTTGGTCACTGAAATAAATATAAGTTTGTAGAACTAGAGCCGAACCAGTATTTGATTTTTGGTACCAATGCAGATACCGACAAACTCAAACCAGATTTAAAATGATTTTTTTTTTTGCTCCTCAAAATGTAATCTCAAGAAAAAATACCACGGCTCATCTATAACCGTCACAATTATGAAGTCACAGTTCACTACTGTCAAGTCAAGAAGTTCAGGGAAACTTTCTATGTGGTGGAAACAGACTTTGAAATTCTAGCTTTTGGAAATGTAGTGACTGAAATCATTTGGTTTGGAAGGCCGATCAAACTGCAAGTCCTGAACTGTTGTTACATGTAATAATGATGTTAGTTTGACTCCTATAGTGAGAATGGATTTAATGCTAAAACATGAGCTTTCACTAAACATACAAGCTATAAAGTAGTTAGTTAGTTAGTTAGTTAGTTAGATAGATAGATAAAAAGGAGAGTCTCACTAATTATAAAAGCAACGTTGGGAAGTAGATGACAACATGGCCTGAAATCAACACTCAACCACTGCTGGCCAGGATTATTTAATTCTGCGCCTCATCTTGTCAGCAGTGGTTAGGGCAGCTTGGTGGAGTTTGATAGTGCTGGGTTTTGAACCCCTGACCTTCCAGTCAGAAACCCATACCCTTAATTGAGCCACCACCACCTCAACAGGAGATGTTAACCTCTCAGTCTGCTACATTTATGACTTTACTGACAAACTACAGCTAGCGTAGCAACATAGGAGGCATGTCATTCAAGCTTGAGTGACATGACAGTTATCAGGAGGAAGGTAATGTTAGAGTTACAATGAAAAGGGAAAATGATGGATTCTTTTTTTTATTTTTTTATAACTTTTCAGCAATGTATTTCACAAACTAGTTTTCAGTGAAGATACCGCTTAATTTACCTATCTATGATCAGCCTAATTTGGCCAAATGAATTAGCAAGGCAATAAATCGGTTGGGTTTTAAATGGAACAGAAGAATAGAATAGAATAGAATAAAACTTTATTAATCCGTTCGGTACAAGACCTCAGGGAAATTGCTACACCAAAAAACAACACAACACCAACATAAAATCAGCAACAAAACAACAGCATTCAAAATTCAAATCAAATCAAATCAAATCAAATCAAAATCAAAATTCAAATCAAATCAGCATTCAAATCCAAATTCAAATAGAAATTACTCTTTTAATACAGTCCTATAAAAAAGACATGACGGACATGCTCAGTTGGCTTATGTGTGGTTTAACTTGTAAAACAACAACTACAAATATCTGCCTCATTTAAAGAAAAAAAAAAGCACAAGATGAATTTGCCCAAAAAAAGATGCACAAACATAATTTTGCACAAATGCATCGCAAAATAAGCTACATGACTCGTAATGTAGGAATAATTAGCTGGCAATCATTTAATGTATCTAAATTATAGGTTAGGGATAAAATGTTGTTTCTTTTAAAGATTTAAAATAACTAGTGCAGTTCCCTCTGTCACTGACTAAACACTGAAGTCTTTAATCTGTGACAACAATCGAACAAGTTTGAAGTAGAATGAATGAATGAATGGTTGTCACGGAAACAAATGAACTGATACACAGACAGGCATCCGTAAAGATAATCTTTGTTTATTTGCATGACTAGTGCATTTCCCTGTTGTCACGGGCATGATAGCCTTAGCAAATATTAATGTCACATTAAGTTGTTAAATTCTGATGTCTGTGAGCTTTGGCAACATGCCAGACTAATGTCCCATATATACAGGAAGACACCAGCAGCAATGTCTCTAGACCATGGAAGGTCAATGAAAGGTCAAACAAAAAGGCATGTTGACATAAAAAAAGAACTGAGAGTTTTTTAGATTACATACCACTCCAGAAAATGTTACCATATTTACGTTCAAAATCATAATATTTTATCAAAATAATTTAATTTTAAATGTTTTATTTAAATAATTGCCAAAAATTCTGTAAGAAAACAAACAATTTGTTGTTGTTGTTGTTTTTTGTCTTGCCAAGCAGCAAAAACAATGTCCATAGTTGAATTTTCATTTCTGAGTTCTCTCTATTTCTAGCCATGGCTGTGCTGTTTACAATCCTTACTATTGATCTACATGATGAAGTGACTTGTTCTCTGTAGTTAACTGTTGGTCAAATTATTGGAAACAGCTGCCGAGCTGCAACACATGTTCACCAATACATAGCAACGTAGTTCCTCAGTCCTGGAAATCTGTCAGTACTTACTACCACCCTTAAAATGTAATTATACACAGAACAGATGACCACAAATACACGAGTTCAATTTAGTTTGAATGTTGTTAGAAGTGGAGTCCTGATGCTCCTGAACGTCAGCAGCGTGAGCAACTACTGCTGCTTTGACACTCAGCTCCTAGTCTGTGCTAGATATGAAAACCCTAGTTTAGCATGTTAGCATGAGCCTCAGCTAGCTAAACTGGACAGCAGCCAGACACCTTTTGTACAATTTAATGTTGCATCAACACCACTGCTACAGTTACCAGTTAGACGACAGGGAAGAGTGATTATTTAATGAACCCTTATGAGGGGCCAGCAAACACACCTGTAACTTCATCCCATTAAAAAGAAGAGGCTCCACCTGGTGGCACAACAAGGCAACAACAATGCTGATTTGATTTGAAACATTTTCTGATAACTAAACTATACTTCCTTTATTTTCTGCCTTATCTGCCTTATTTGTAATTGACTAAAATATTTAGAGCAAATAGTTGGTTAACAGTTAATCAACATTAATCATTGGCATCCTAATCTCAAGATATGTATATTAACAGCTTGCTAAAAGAAGGTAGGACTGAAAGAGGCAATAACATAGATATTAATGTCTTTTTCACACATAATGAAAACTGAAAATTATGCTGTTTTGTTCTTGGTTTCCTTCTCAGCAGTTTTCAGGATTGTCAGTTTGTGACAGAAAAAACTGCAACTGTTCCAGAAAATATTTACATCTCATATTAAACACTACAAGATGAGAAACAACAGTACCATTTCAAACAGTTGAATATGTAAAGCAGAACATTTCATGTTTTCACAAGTTTCTCCCATAGTGCACCCAAGCCAGGGGTAATTGATATGTTAGCCTTTATGCAGCTGGCCAGGTGAAGGTTTCTTGTGGGGTAATTATATGTGTTTTGTTACAACACCAGGTTTTTTTGGTGGTGACGGCAAACTCTGGACAAAAATTGGTAAGAAAAAGAAGAGAATGGATTCTTCCTCCAAAGCCTCTGACAGAAAACGTGGACTACACTAAAATGGAATCTATTGCCAGGGTAAGTCACTGATCTGCAATTTGCTCTAACTCTACACACTAATGTAAAAAATAAAATAAAATTTGTCAAAAAATGTGAATATATATGTAGCTTTGGGTGGAGAATCATTTGGGGCCATTATTTATAGTACATGTATTTTAGTTTGCTTTTTTTTTGGCTGTTGGTGATAATGTAACCAGAAACCGTTAGTTATCAGTGGCATGAAGCACACAGTTGACAGTAAATAGCAGTCTAAAGACTCACCTTTTAAAAACAGAACAAAAACAGAATAAAAACAACAAAAGTAAGACTAAGAACTTGTTTTTTTTAATGGTTTAAAGGGAAGCTACACTCTGCACTGCACATACTATACCTTTCAAGTTTCATTTCCCAAAAAAGGAAAACTCAATGAGTTCCACAGGGGTCTAGTAGTGAATGTGTTTGGATGACCAATCTCCAATAAAAGACAAATAACATTAACCAACTGGGAGATGGACAAACAGACAAAGAGTTGACTCTCACACCAGAAGTGTGCATGTGCAGAATGCTCTTACTTTTATCGTACAAATGTTTGTTTTTTTGTTGTGTTTTTTTTTGTTTTGCTTTTTTCGTATTTTGTTTCCTGGTGCAATGAAATAATTAGGTCTTCTGCTTTGTGTTTCAGATTCGATCAGATTTTCAAAGTGGGACAAATGTTGTCTACTCCTTAGAAGGCATTGGCGCAAACCAAAATCCCTTCCATGTGTTTGTCGTTGACCCTAATACTGGAAACGTTCGTGTGACCAAAGTGCTTGACAGGGAGTTCATCGATACATACAATGTAAGTGACTCTATTCTATTGTACTTTATGACTTTGGTGTTGTTTTATTCCCTTCATAAGATTCAGGAATTGTTGCTTTATGTATTTAACATTGAGATATCTGGTGGCATTTGCAACACAGTTTTTTATGTTAAGACAAATGACATGGACAACAGCATTTGAGTTTTTGTTTGCTTCTGTTTCAGCTGTCAGGTGTTGCTACATACAGAAATGGCACCCAAGCTGAGAAAAAAATTGACCTACGAATCAAGGTTGAAGATCAAAATGACAACGCTCCAGTGTTTGGTGTAGTTAAGCCTGGGGCGGTGAATGAGCTCAGCCCTAAAGGTCAGTGTTATAGATTTGCATCCTGATCTGTGATGGCAAAGTTATATCACATGATTTCGTTATACACAAAACAAAACTTTGTGTTTTTTTTTTTTACATTTCTGATAGCGTGTGAGTCAGAGAACAGAGAGTTAAAACATCAACAGTGACCAAGGAGGAAGTTTTGGGATGTGTGGTGTTAATAAGTGCTAAAACTAAATCAGAGAATGGAGCTCCATGAAGCAAAATATAAAGCCTCTGAACAGCAAAAAGCTGCTGGCAGTTTGAAAGGGTTGCTCATATTGATTCCAGTTTTTCTTGTTGTTGTTGTTTTTGTAAAAATAAAGAAATATATTATTTGTTTTTCTTTTCTTTTTATATGATTTATGACATTATAATTTTGTTAAGCTGTACAAAAGAGAGTTTTGGGTTCTCTCTACTCTTCGAGGTGCAGAACTTTATATCGCAGTGAAAAAAGAGCCTCCAGTGAGTAAAAATGTGGCAGGACTGGGAAAAAAAGCCCCAAAACTAAATGGAGTTTAGAGAGTTTACTGCTTGAATACTTATTAAGGTCAAATATCATACAGGCCCCTGGACGTTTTTGTTATTTTGAGTGTGAAAGAGTCAGAAATCATGAGATGAGTGATTGCTTTTGCCCCTTTTTCCCTCCAGCCCAAATGGTTAAGGAGTTCCAGTAACGTGAAGCCACATAGTAAAATGTAGGCGGAGAAGATTTTTTTATCTGTGTTCGGACAGCAGTAACTTGTGTGTACGTTGTGTACTGTAATACATAGAATAGCCACGTAAAGCTTGTCTTCTCTTCTTTGAGAAACTAGTACAAACGGTAATGGAGTTACTGTAATTTAACAAGTACTTGTAAAATTGGAGTCACAGTGGGATTTAACTGTTTGAACTGATACTAAAGAACAAAGCAGCTTGCATGTCTTGTGGAGAAATTTAAAACCTAATTTCAAAAGCAAGACATCATGCATTAATGTCAAATAATGTTGATAATGCATGATGTCTTGCTTTTAAAATTATAGTTTAAACTTCTCCACAAGACATGCAAGTTGCTGTGTTCTAAAAAAAATCTTGTGAGCTAAAGTTTTTATTTCCTTTTAAGCTATAACACCAGCCACTGTGAAATTGAGTTTCATTGCTGTTTCACTTCATTCTGTTTTGACAGACACTTTTGTTATGAAAGTCAGTGCAACTGATGCCGATGAACCAGGGAATCCCAATTCTATGATTGCTTATAGCATCATAGAGCAGAAGCCACCTGGTGACATGTTCTACATTGACCCCACGGGGAACGTCTATGTCAAGAAGCTTGGGCTGGACAGAGAGGTATAAACTTCACCAACAGTGGGGTTTTTTTGTTGTTTTTTTTTTTTTATGTATTGCAGATAGGACTCTGTGTGTGGTATATAACAGTAAATGTGACATATTAGGTACCCAAATGATTACAGCAAATGCCATTAAAATGTATTTGATTTATATCGCAGAAAATCATAAAATATGTAACCTCAGAGTACTTCCTCTCTGTAGCAAGCACTTAGTGACAGTTGGGAGAAAAAAAAACTGATATCTCCAACAAAGCCAAAATCAGGATGGACACACCCTCTCTTTTCCCTTTGCCCTGATCTGTGCCTTGCAGAGGTGTACAGAGAGTTTTCAGCACCTTATGGCTCATTTTTTGTCTTGGCATGGAGTGTAAAGTGTGGGACCTTGTATGCACTGGTGTGTGCTTTTCTAAACCTTACCTAAGTTCTGGATACATCTCAAAGATAATTCAAGTGTAAACTACCAGAATTAGGAATGTAACAACAAAGGGTTTAACTACTTTTAATAAATGTGCAACAACATCTAAAGGCATGTTTTCACTTTTTAGTACGGGCTATTGAAAGGACATTGGTAGGGAATGTGCAGTTCTATCAACTTAAAATTATCTAAATCATTACATAATGTGCAAAAATGTCTGAATAGCTTTTCAAATCCTCTGTACATAGATGTGTTGTCATATCAATTTCTATTATGCCAGGCACTGAAAATGTGCATTTGTTACATTGTTTTAATTAGTACTTAGTGCTACTGTACATTCTGTGATGTGATGATATTCTATCCTGTCCATGCAACAACTCCTGAGTCTCTGCTTAACTTTGGTCAGCCAAGAGACTAATTCAGACTCTGAATTATAATGTGTTCTAATTGCAGACAATTGATCAGTACGTTCTGACGGTGAAAGGCCAAGACTTAAATGGCCAACGAGGGGGGCACAGTGGAACTGGCACTCTTACCATTAATGTACTCGATGTGAATGACAATCCTCCCACTCTGGAAAAAGAGCAGGTAGTTTTTTTTGTTGTTGTTGTTTTTCTGACACTCTCCTATATCAACTTGTTATACGACAAACTGGTGAAAGCAGAAAACGTTTCCAAATGTTGATATTCTCGTGACACAGATCACACAACAATATCAAAGAAATAATAAACAAATATGTCATCTTAATATAATTCAAGGAATCGCTATGTGTGTCTACGCATATCTGCTTTAAACTTGCTGTTTATATTGCTGGGGAACTAATGAAGTACAATGTCGAGTGTAAAGCAGATTGGATGAATGGTTGCCATTTTGGAGTGTTTTTGCTTTAATCAGTGTAGCTATTGCATAATATGTGATATGGGTGGCTGGGCAACATCATCAAGGGCAAATGTTTGATGTCATAGTCTGTCTGTACTGCATCTGTGTATTAACACAAGATTCACCACGAACAGTAGGCACTGCCCGAATTACAATAAATATAGTTGAAATGACCCGTGTTACTTTAATCTTAAAATATGTTTTACTTGCAGTATGAGGGATCCATTGAGGAGAACACTGAAGGTGTGGAGGTGATGAGACTCAAAGCAGAGGATCTGGACCTCAAGGATACGGACAACTGGGAAGCTGTGTTTGATATTGTCAAAGGCAATGAGGGTGGATACTTCAGCATCAAAACAGATCCCGAGACCAATGAGGGCATCCTAATGCTTGACAAGGTACTGCAGTTTTAAATTTGGAAGAAATATATGTGCTGTTATCCCAGTCTTTAGTGGGATAAATTTGGTAAATTCAATCAGAATGCCCCATACATAGTGATTTTAAGTAAATAACATGCTCTTCAAGTAGAGAATAGGGGCAAGCATGACTTGAAGCAGAAATATCTAATCAGCAAATGTTATGTATGCATGTAGACATGGAACCATCTGACTCTGTAAAAGTTTGTAAAGTATGACTGCTTATAAATTTTTATTTTGTCAACACTAAAACATACGTTCTCTGTATGTGCTATTTCACAGCCTGTGGATTATGAGAACATCAAGGACCTTGATCTAGGGCTTGTTGTGAGGAATAAAGCTCCACTATATGATGGATTTGCCCCAAATGGTGCAGGTAGTATAGGTTTTGGAGGTGGTGCCGGTGGTGGTGGCGGCAGTGGTACCGGCAGTGGTACCGGCAGTGGTACCGGCAGTGGTACCGGCGGCGGCGGCAGCGGCAGCGGCACCGGCACTGGCACCGGCACCGGCACCGGCAGTGGCACTGGCACCAGCGGCACTGGTGCCACTAGTGCCACTGGTGCTACTACAGGATTTAAAACCTACCCCATCAAAATCAGTGTGAAGAACCAGCCTGAGGGGCCACGTTTTGATCCCAAAGTCAAAGCTATTCCCATCTCAGAAGGAGACTCCTTCGACATTAATAAAGTTATTGCCAGCTACCCTGCAATTGATGGAGACACTGGAAAACCAGCTGAGAATGTCAGGTCAGTGCATACACAAACAGCCATATAGACTTTCTGCTGATAAACTATATCAGTTTTACTCTCTGTGCACAACAATAATACCTGACACATCCTATTTCTGTTGTAGGTATGCCAAGGGCTCAGACCCTGACAACTGGTTCACCATTGACCCAAAGACAGCTGAGATCAAACTGAACAAGATTCCTGACAGAGAATCTCCAGCCCTGGTCAATGGAACATACATCGCTAAAGTACTCTGCATAACAGACGGTACCTGTTCCAGCATCAGATGTTTTACATATCAGAGTGATAGTCTCATGAAAGGCAGCTGTAGGTTGATTGTTTATTGGACTGCCTGACATCTTGCTGGTACCCAGCTCATTTGAGCTTTCAAGACACTTAACAATGACGCATGATAAATCACAATGTACAGTTCAACAAATTCTGACAACAATACATTTTAGGACAGACAGAATACGACACAGCTAACATGCCATAAATCACAAAACAGAAATATCTAAAGTTGAATGTATTTGACTATTTGTTTTACAAAAATGTAAAAACAATGGAATATTATTTCCTAACATTTGTTCAAGTGCCTGCAGGTGTTACCATTATTACATCACTTAGGTCACTTATGTTTTTAAATTGTTTCCATTTGTGTCCTCTCTGGAATGTGTAAGCACAGCCTGTAGTTCAGTCCTTTTCTGCTGAAAAGGGGATTTTTGCCAGGTTACTGTTGGTTGTAGCTTAATTATTAATGGCTTCCCATTTGGGAAAAGTGCATAGAATTTTTTCCTTTTTGCAGAATCTGCCTAGAGCAGACTGTTACTTTTGGCAACTCTTTAAATGGCACATGTAGAATTGAGATTTGGTTAAGTTTCCAACCAAACAGCACATCACAGATGATTAGTCAAAGGACAATCAGAAAGTTTAAAACATGACAATTGTCTCTGTTTTTATAGTTCCTGGCTCTGATAAATGCTGTAATTATGGTGATTTTGTAAAGACATCATGCCTTTCACACCTGCCAGTTTTGAAGTTCTGAGGGTTAAAGATCCTTTTGGTCAGCTTTCCTCCTGTTAACTGAACAAGGTGGTCTCACAGCATCACCAGTTGACCTCTCTGCTTTACAAACCATAGCTCCCTATCCTACTTCTAGGCCAATAGCTCAATTAGCAGTACCCCAAGAAATCCCCTCATGACACATTTCAGGATAGTATTGTAGTCATCTCCAAAACCCCACATGCCTGCAGCATAAAGGAAAACTGAGTCAACCACTGAATCGTAAAGTGTTGTGAAGGTTAAAAGCTTAGGTTCCTTGTGCTCCTCTGGCTGATTCTGCCACTGTAAAACTCATGAGTCTGATAAGACTTCCAGTATGCAGAAGTTTGACAGAAGAGGAATATTCCAGCATGAGAACCATCTGAAGCACAAAATCACACAAGCGTTTCTAAAGAAGAAGAAAGTGAAAAGTATGACATAGATGAGTATGCCACCTGACTTGAATCCAATAGACCTTTGGGGTGTTTTAAAGTGAAAAGTAGAGCAAACCAACCTCTGAAATGGCCTCTGAGCAATAGCAGAACATCTCTCCACATGCTTCCACATTCTTGGTCAGTGGATCAGTCACCTTCCTCTAGGACCTCATAATGATGTTGCCAGTTCAGTACATCAGCGTTTAAGAACTGACTGTGACATTTACCTTTGTTGATGTTAACATGTCTGTGATAGTATAAAGAATATTAAAGAAGAACAAAAAAACAGAATTTGTGTCACTGTAAATCTGAACACAACATTAGCAGGGCAAACAATTGTCCACCTCAGGGGAAGTCTAAATAGAAACTTGCCTTCATAGAAAGAAAAGATTAGCAAAGGAAAATGCTGAATGAAATGTTTCTATTTCTGTTTTTCCATCACAGACATGCCAGCTAAAACAGCCACTGGCACGATAGCCATTCAGGTGGAGGATTTTAATGACCACTGCCCCACTCTGACCAGTGATAAACGGACTATGTGTACCACCTCGGATGCTGTTATAGTGAACGCTAATGATGAGGATGCATACCCTAATGGACCTCCTTTTGACTTTGTCATCATCCCTGAAGGCACTGATGGGAAATGGCAAGTCGAGCATCTAAATGGTAAGAAAAATACTTAAAAAATTTTAACAGACATGGAAGCTAGAGATAAAAAATATTCTGATACATAAGTAGAGAATAATTTATGAAGTGGCACTTTATTGACTACTTTTGTAACTGCAGATCTGTTTCTTTTTTCTTTTTTTTTTTAATGAGTTCATATGAGTTGTTTCAAGCTTTACAAATAACAGGTTATGCTCTTCAACTACCCTAAAGTTTGTTTCGACTAGGACACCTGGTATGCATCTTAGATCAGTGAATACCAACAATTTGAGAACATTTTTTCTTCTTTTCATTTGCTTGTCCTTGTTGTTGGCAGACACTGCAGCTATCTTGAGAGCTCAGGAGTCCTTCTGGCCTGGTTTGTACGAGGTGAAATTTGAGGTGAGGGACCAGCAGGGACAGGCCTGTCCGGAACCACAGAAAGTGGAGGTCCTAGTTTGCACCTGTGAGGATGGAGTAGTGTGTGGACAAAGAGGTGCCAATGGCCAGCCCAGCAAGAAAACAGAATTAGGACCTGCAGGCATTGGACTGCTGCTACTAGGCCTCCTGATGCTGCTACGTAAGTGTGATATGATGCTTATTCTTATGAGGATCAAATACATACCTCCCCCCCCAAACTTGGTTCCTTGCTGAGGCTGGCAGACTCAATAAAGCAGTTGTCCTAAACCTCTATGATTAAAATAGATGTAGCATTGTTGTGCTTTATTTCTAGTGCATCAAATGTATTAAAGAAATAAAGATTTTTTTAAACAGGTCAAGTTTTTGCAAGTAGGGGACCTGAAGCTGCTCTCCAATTGGTTACTTGAGATTATCAGAGGAGTGCTCAGCCCCAAACACTCCCACTTTTCTTGATAGCGTATCAGTAGGTTATTGGACAATAGTTAATGGTGGATATAAGAAGGCATTTTTTCTTTTTTGACTTTTTAAACAATTTTTAGATTTAGGCTACAAATCAAAGTCAAAGCAGTTATTATATATGATTCCTCGCCCACCTAGGGTAAAAATATATATATATGTAATACGTTGGATAAATTATTGTAAAAAATACACATATAAAGATGAAGGAACATTTATTTCCAAATCACCAGTCAGACTTACGGAACTTATGACTGGCTCACTCGTAATTGGTAAGAGGCCATGGTGACTGTGTTGTGATGTAGCCTGACCTTTGTTGATTGGCTGGATGAAGTCACATGATTCTGCCCCCTGTCACTTTTAAAGCCTGCAGAAGTTACCATATATGGTTCCTTGCCTGATAAGGGGCTAGCAGATAAAGAAACTGTTAAGACTCTACACTGTCTAAACAATTAGGTGTGTTACAACCAAAGACCGCTATTCAAGATCTAACAGTCCATATGCTGGAAACATTTTATTTGTTTTGTGGTTGTTGAAGACTTGAAGATGTAAAATAAAATCTGGTAAGATATGAAGATGTTTACTCATATAGCTTCCATTTTTACAAGTCAGTAAGAACTTTACTGAGCTCCTGAATTCCCGTTTTAACATGACTGATTGTTGGTCAAGCCACAGATGGTGTTGCACTAATGCCGTACTAATGGCTTACTGTAAAAGTAGGTATAATCCTCTGTATTGTGTCTGTTAATATTAAACTGCACCTCCCCCCACCACTCTTTGGGAGAGCGAAGTTGGACAAAAGTTAATTTTTTTTTTTTTTTTTTTTTACAGTCATCCCTCTGTTGTTACTCTTCTGCCAATGTGGGGGTGCTGCAGGATTTCCAGACCTCTTCACTGAGATGCCTTTTGATACAAAGTCACACCTAATTAACTACCGCACTGAGCGCCAAGGAGAGAACACGGTGAGGCCAACATGTTTAAACACCTCACCTTGGTTGAAATCAGAAATGCTGACGTACATTGTAGATATGTATCGTTAGAATGATGTCTGCTTGAAAGAATTAAATGATTTTTAACCACATGGGGAAAAAATGTAGACTCCATTGTAACATTTTGATAACTGGCTGATTATAGGAGATGCCACTACTGAACATGCCAACACAAGTGGATGGCGATATGGTCACCATGGGTATGGGTGCGGCTAAAACTTCAGCAATGGCACCTATGGCAGGATTGGATTTCCAGCCATCTGTCACGTCCATGAATGGGATGAATGGGGGTGCCTTTCAAGAAGGTTTTTCAAGTGTGAACAGAGAAGGGATGTGGGCAATGAACCAGGAGGAAGGCAGTGGCTTCTACTCTGATTTTGAGGGCATGGACTCACGAGGAGGTGGGGGAATTTATGCTGGCATAGCATTGCCAGACCACTTCCTGGGACAGTACTACAATCAGGTGAGTAATAACCTGACCAGTGGAAAAGGCTCAACAGTGAAATAAAGCAAAGTTTGAGATTGACATTGATTCTAAATACCTATTTTAAAGGGCCCTTAAATGAACTTGCCATGCATTAATTAATTAATATGTATTCTCGGCACTACCATTTTACACTGGGATATCAGGCCTTACATACCTTTCCTGATGTTATTTAAACAGATGTCTGTGGTGTATCTACTATCTAACAAGATTTGCAAGCTTTAACTTTTTTTTCTTTCTTTTCTTTTTTTTTTTTAAAGTGAGCTTATGTTTATTTCAAGACAAAAACACAAATTAGATTTAGAAAAGAGACTCATCAAAAAGATAATCTTGTTGATGAATTCTTTTTCAACAGAAGGTGGCCAGTGGAGCTGACAATCTTGGGGTGAAGGATGGTCTGTTAGTTTATGACTATGAGGGCCAGGGCTCCTGTGCTGGCTCAGTGGGCTGCTGCAGCCTTCTAGAATCTGAAAATGACCTGCAGTTCCTCGATAACCTTGGACCGAAATTCAAGACTCTTGCTGAGGTGTGTGGAGACAAGAAGATCCCAACTGAAATCAAACAAGTGTGCCCTCCTTTGCCCAGTTCCTCTATAACCAGTGCCCAAGCTTCAGTATCAAATGTGATCATGACCCAACAGCTGCCCCCTTCACCCAAACTGCAACCAACTTTTCCCAGAGTGGAGCAAACTGTGGTTAGGAAGACAACTGAACATTCTCCGTTGGTGACAGAAAGCACGGCCATGGTGAGGGAAGGGATGACCACAGTGAAAACAGAGATGGCAAATCAAAACCAGATGCTCCTGCTACAGCAGCAGCCACAGCCTGTCTACTACACCACCACCCCTGTGTTGCAGCCGATGCACTACGTAGTCCAACCACAGGTTCAGAACACGGTGCTGCTGACTGAAGCGCCAGCCACCAACCTTCAAGGTATGGTACTGGTTAACGACACCAAGCCTGGACCTTCCCAGGGTCTCATCATTCAGGGGCAGAAAGTGATGGCCAGTGGACAAGCCCAGGGCCCCAGCATGGTGCTGGTAGAGAACAGTGGGCTCCATGGGAGCCACACCAACCTAATCCAAACTGGAAACTTCTCTGGTTCCCAGCCTATGATGGTAGTTGAGGGCAAGGTCCCCGCAGGGTCAATGAAAGTGCTGTCGGGAAGCCAAACATGCCTCATTCAAGGAGGTTCTCTACAGCCAGGAGGGCTTTCGGGATCTCAGACAGTCCTGGTGGTCAGAGACCCAACAAGCAGCAGTCAGCTTGTTAAGGAAGCAGGGGGTCTGTCCAGGAAGAGTGAAGTCTCTGGCTTACAAAGAGTCCTCGTCAGCAAGGGCAGTCCATCCATGAGCTCTCGAAGCAGCAAATTGGGCTCTTCTACCACCACAGTGAGCACAGCCCCCACCTACTCCAAGGTATTGGTGCAGGAAACAAGAGACAATCAGTGAAAGAAAAATTGCCCAAACAGCAGTTAACTTTTTCCAGATGCCAAAAAGACTATTCCTCTGCCCTGTTCTCGGTGGTGATGGTGCACTTGTGGGACTAAAGTAATCCATACAGCTAATGGAGATTCTTTATAATACCTCTTTAAGTCTGATAATGTAAAGGGGGAGGGGAGGGGTGGGGGAGTTTACGGCACCCAGAACACAGGAAATATTAAAGTTACATGGTCATTACTCCAACAAGGGTGAAAATAAATGAATCGACTAAATTGTGAATGCAAGGTGGTGCAGTTGGTAGCACTGTTGCCTCGCAGCAAGAAGGTCGCCGGTTCGCGTCCCGGTGGGGGCACCGGGATCTTTCTGCATGGAGTTTGCATGTTCTCCCCGTGCAGCGTGGGTTCTCTCCGGGTTCTCCGGCTTCCTCCCACAAGTCCAAAAACATGTTGAGGTTAATTGGTGATTCTAAATTGTCCATAGGTGTGAATGTGAGTGTGCTTGATTGTCTGTCTCTAAGTGTAGCCCTGTGATAGACTGGTGACCTGTCCAGGGTGTCCCCTGCCTTCACCCGAATTCAGCTTTGATAGGCTCCAGCCCCCCCACGACCCTAGTGAGGATTAAGCGGTGTATAGATAATGGATGGATGGAAAATTAAATAATAATAATAATAATAATAATAAGCTGATACTTCAATTATCCCATCTGAGTTACCAAGTGCCTTACTACTTGCCATCCTTATGTAATGTACACACTGCATCATCTTCAGTAAGCTTGTATGAGTAACTTCAGCTTTCTTATATCCTCACGTTATGTTTTAGGGTGCCTGCTATTCTGTTGCCTTGTATTATCTCCTATACAGTTATATGATAATGTTTTGTTTTGCACTAATAAAAAGCAAATATGAGAGTCATCATTTTGGAATGTATTGGATTTGAGTGGATTTTTGTCATGTAGCTATGGGTTTTAAAAGACCTCTTCCTGTTTTTGCTGTTTCATTGTATAGCACCATTAAAAAAACATACTTGAGACTTGAGATCCTTCATGTGGGTGTTGCTGGCAAGTGATTTGCTGATCACAACTAAACAATATCTCCCCTTAAAGGACACTGTAAAAAACCTAAATGACCTAAATGTTCTTCTCTAGTGATGCATCTAGAAGCCAATTTCAATCCAATTCAATTTTATTTGTGTAGTGCAGTTTACAACATATGTTATCACACAGCGCTTAACATAGTAAGTATAGACCTTAAACATTTAAACAGAGAACCCAACAATCCAAAGTTGCCTTTGGTCTCTCTCTGAGCAAGCTGTCGGCAATGGTGGGAAGGAACCAAAACCCCCCCCAAGGGAGGGGGAAAAAAAACTTCGGACAGAACCAGGCTCGGGGAAGGCGGCCATCAGCCTCGACTTGTTGGGTGAGAGTGGGGATGTGCTATAGAGCTACTGCTATAGGTACAGCTGTGGAAAAAAAAAAATTTACATACACTTGTAGAGAAAAAAAAACGATCATGCATTTTGGTTCTTTCATAAATATATTGATCTTCTAGAAATAGGAAAAAATCAGCTGGGTCAAAACTATACATACACTTGATCACAACTTGAATTATAGGTTTTAATGATGCAGATTGTTGTATTAATAAAGCGTTCTCAGTGGCATGGCCTCTTAATTACTTGTGAGTGATAACAATTTACTGCAGCTGCTGACTTTTTAATAGGACCCATTTGATACACTCATTAGACTCAGCCACAAACACTACAGTGGAAAAGCCTGAGGAGAACAGATGTGTAAACATAGCCATTTCAAAGCAGCTACAGATCCCAAAATCAACTGTGTCAACAACTGTAAGCATAAAGTGCATGGCACAGTTGTGTCTCCACCATGATCAGGAAGAAAACACAAAATATCACCTGCTGCTGAGAGACGATTGGCCAGCATGGTCAAGAGTCAACTGAGAATCATCAAAATGTAGGTCAACAATGAATTAGACGCTGCTGGAACACAGCTGTCAGTGTCCACAGTCAAGTGTGTTTTGTGTCACCATGGGTTCAGGGACTGCTGTGCAAGATAGATCCACCAGCCTTGTGATTAGAGGACAACCGCTCTACCACCTGAACCACAGCTGCCTCAAAAATCATCTCAAATTGAAAGATCACGCTCTTGAATAGAGAAAAGAAAGAAACTCCATGCATTGTAAACTTGGTCTCCTGGTCTTGAACGGGAAGGCTCAGGTGGATGAACGCATCAGAGAATATGTTTGTATTTCCTTACCTGTGGTGGAGGAGGATTTGTGCAGGTCAGTAAATTCCTCTAGTAGTTGTAAATTGAAATCAACATAGGGTCATTCTGCTTCTATTCACCGAGTGCCCCACACTGCACCATCTTCACATTTTTTTTTAAAGTGTTGAATTCGTAAGGCCTTTACCTTACTCTATTAAGTGCTATGATAATAAAATTGAACTGAATTGTAAATTAATTGAACATTAAGTTGGCCATGTGTAAAGATACTACTCGCGTGGCTGACCAGTCGATTCACTGAGCAACTCTATTTTTTTAATTTCTTTTTTAACTTTTTATCACGTTTTTCACCCCATATCACTGTTTTCACACAGGACGGTTTTTCATATTGGGGATTTTTTGCTCTATGGCACTTATCTAGATTGTTTCTCCTCACTAGATCATTGCTTGTGTTGTATCTGCTCTCAGATGTACGTCGCTTTGGATGAAAGCGTCTGTCAAATGAAACTGTACAAATTGTAGGCTGGAAAATGCTGGTGATGGTACCCTTGTTCTTCATCCTTTATTGTCGCCTACAAGATTCACCCTGACATAACTATGTTTTTTCTTTCACAGTCGTCATTACTAACTATGATACATGACTCCTCCCAGTAGTGATTTCAAACTCAATTTTGTGTTTTTGTCCTTTGTACTCACATGTAAGTGATTTCTTTCCCACTGGCGCTATCTTTTGGCCAAAGTATGTAACTAATTTGCTATTAGTTGCTCCAAGTGTGCCTCCAACATTGAGTGCTTTAAATGTTTTGAATGATGTTGCATTACAGTATGCACCTCTGTCCAGCTTAAAGCCACATCTTCTGCAACTTGAAGTCTTGTCCACATGTAGCAGGGTATCTCACAAAATAAAGACATTTTCCTATGATTTGGCCTGTCATCCACACGAAAGGGCAGATTTACAGCATTAGAAACAATTCTTTCAAAAACCTCTGACCTAAGTGAAGATTTGTGAATACTCTGTTTATGCGTCTATATGTAGACATCAATAACCAGGGTTTTAGGTTTCAAAACATCACTGCCTGGGACAAAATATGTTCTTACATCACATATGCGACCTGTGTTCACATTCGAAAGCAGCATGCCCTCAAAACTGTGTTGGCGTTGTTTCTTGTCCAGGCGGTTTTTGCTTGCTTGTTTTTACAAGCCCAGATATCACTCTATGTACAAAAACACAGGCAAAAGATGACGTTAAGGACGGTTATTTTCCACCACCTTGCCTTTTCACGTCCAAGGCATGTTGTCTGTCAAAGACACCGATGCTGGTTTTGGGTCAGACTGGGACGCACTGCCAGCTGGTGGGAGAACTTTGAAACGGAAATTGTGCCCCCAGAGGAATGGCCTGACAATTTCCGTATGTCCCGGGCATTGTCGGAGTTGTTGCATCCTCACATAAAAGGGCAGTGTGCTGTCATGCAATCACCGGTCAGTGTTGTCAAAAAAGTTGCCTGCACACTGTACTGGTTTGCTGACGAAGGTAGATTACAAAAAACGGCAAATGCGTTTAGATTGTCAAAGCAGGTGTCTCAAAAATTGTTTGGAAGGTGTGTAAAGCTATAACGGTGCACTTGGGACCCCAACAACTGAAACTGCGGTGCATTCACTTGTGGAGAAATTTCAACAGATGCATGGCCTTCCCCAGTGTCTAGGTGCTGTGGATGGCACACGTGGGAATAAAGCAACCATCAGCCAGTTCTACTGATTACCTGAACCGAAAGAGGAATTTTTCATTTGTCACAACCCAGCAAATAGGTTGTGGCAAAAGAGGGGAGACGACACAGGTATTGTCAGATTTTAACGTAAAGTTTTATTAATTGGTTAAATTAATTTATTCAAAGTGAGATGTGTATGTCAGTGATGTCAGTCGTGTGGGTGCAGATGTCTGGATGCCTGGGTGAAGTGTGGTGCAGGGTGTTGTCTGATGTGAGAACCAAACCCAAAATAACGCAAACCACAAGTCACGGGCATGAGGAGAGAGAGAGAGAGAGCGCAGGAGCTGAGGGGTTGGCCCTTTTATACCTGGGAGCGCTGGGCCCGAGCGTGCCAAGCAGGTAGGACCCCCACTCAGTCTCCAGCAATCTAGGGACCTGAGGAAACAGCCAAACAGCCAAACACACACAGCCAATGTGCCCAACCAACAGACTAGGTGGGGCCGTCACACATTACATATTCAGGTGATTATACACACGTGGACAAAATTGGTAATGAAAGAAAAATCCACAAAGGTCACAGAAATAATTTGAATCTGACAAAAGTAATAATAAATAAAAATTCAATGAAAATTAACCAATGAAAATCAGACATTGCTTTTGAACTGTGGTTTAACAGAATTATTTAAAAAAATAAACTCATGAAACAGACCTGGACAAAAATGATGGTGCCCTTAACTTAATATTTTGTTGCACAACCTTTTGAGGCAATCACTGCTATCAAACGATTTCTGTAACTGTCAGTGAGACTTGTGCACCTCTCAGCAGGTATTTTGGCCCACTCCTCATGAGCAGACTGCTCCAGTTGTCTCAGGTTTGAACGGTGCCTTCTCCAGACGGCATGTTTCAGAATTCCACAGATGTTCAATAGGATTTAGATCAGGGCTCACAGAAGGCCACTTCAGAATAGTCCAATGTTTTCCTCTTAGTCATTCTTGGGTGTTTTTAGCTGTGTGTTTTGGGTCATTATCCTGTTGCAAGATCCATGACCTGCGACTGAGACCAAACTTTCTGACACTGGGCAGCACATTTCTCTCTAGAATACCTTGATAGTCTTGAGATTTCATTGAACCCTGCACAGATTCAGACACCCTGTGCCAGATGCAGCAAAGCAGCCCCAGAACATAACAGAGCCTCCTCCATGTTTCACAGTAGGGACAGTGTTCTTTTCTTGATATGCCTCATTTTGCATCTGTGAACATAGACCTGATGTGCCTTGCCAAAAAGTTCCAGTTTTGTCTCGTCTGTCCAGAGGACATTCTCCCAGAAGCTTTGTGGCTTGTCAACTTGCAGTTTGGCAAATTCCAGTCTGGCTTTTTTATGATTCA